TGACGATAAATCTTTGAAGTTCTGGACTGTAAGCTTGTCGACTTGTCACTTCTGTCTTCCGACTTGACTTGTCTTTTGGAGCGGATCCGGTTCAGCTTTACAGGAATTCCTCGATGAAGTCACAGTATCTTCACTCTTCTACTTGAAACAGGCTTTATTCATCCGGCTCGAAGGACCATGTGGTTTTTTAAGTGGTGGGGAAACTCTAACCTTTGTATTTAGACTGTAAACTGAGTTGAACAGTTTTCCTGACTGGTTCTTTATTACAACTGTATTACAACTACTGAGCTCGCGCTCATACGACATAATAGTGTGATGAATCRCAAGAGGCTAAGGGCCTCAATGTACTATTTAATAACAAATTTACTTAACACCAACTGATTCCCAAARAAAAGAGTAAATATTTTTGAATTGAAAGATATATATGAACTGCTGCCTTATAATTACGTGTATATTACATACATTGAGTATGTTTTCTTGTTAAATATGAATAATAGTGACTTTTATTGGAATGTATAGATTTCAAATACAGGTGAGAACCTTAGTGCAATGTTCTGTTTTATACATATACAACATTTATGAAAAGGAAAAAAGAAATTTAATGAAACAATGCTGTAACAAGTCTTAAGAATAACCATCGGCAGTTTATTGCAATTCAGTTATTAGACAAATATAGATTGTATAGATGTAGATTGCTGTAAAATACCAGATATTCTTAAAGTTGTAAAATATTAGGTGACCATCAAATAGACTATTCAGCTGGGTTTCCAGATTTGAATATATTAAGAAAATAAATAGTGAAAAATTACCGACGTATCATATTGATCTGTGAAAAATAATGGAAGAAGACTAATAAATACAAACTCCAATGTAACATTTATGATTTTTATGCCGACATGTCGCCAATCTGCCCAATGCATCGTGCTGATGTTTTTTTAAGAACGTGTCAAATAATCAAGTATGACATACYTACATGTAGCAATATGTGCCTGAACTGTGTATGCTGAATCACATTTCTTGGTCAGAGAGATCTTCATCTGAAGACATTTCATTATCACTGTCAGTAAGTTCATCAAACAAATCTTGACATACATCCAGGAGTTCCATGTCATCATCAAAAATTGCGTATGGCGAAGAGCACTGATTAACATTGATTTCCTGTTTGTCTATATCTTGAAACACATCATTTATCATGCACAGAATATCCATTGCTTTTGCTGTGTTAAAGACTGGCAAATTCTCTAAAATGTAAGATTTGTTGAAAATGCTACTTGCAATGTTGTAATACCTTCTTTTTAAGTGACTTAGCAAACAAATTACTGCCATCTACTCCAATGAAACACAAAAGGTGATATGAAAATTCCTCCTTGTAATCCAACAATATATCTTGAAGTAGCTCCTTCTGTTCTTTGGATACCTCCCTTGTCTTTAATGACTCTAATGTTTGCTCAGGAAGTCCAACTGCAGTTGAAGGTACTGTACATTGTTTTCCTTCATAACACAAACATTCTTTATGGCAATTCAAACAGCATTTGKGTGTTTTAAAGTTGGGAATATCTCCAATACCAAAATCATCTAACATTATCTTCCTTAAGCATAATGGATTATTTGCCTGACATTTAACACCCATTCCTAAARCATTTGTGTCAAATATCACTCTGCAAGTGACATTTTCATCCAAAAATGATTCCAGTGTTTGTTCTTGATTCTTGGGAAGAGTTGCATGGTGGTACATGGCAAAAAGGAGATTTTTAGAATGGCATTCATTCTTAGGGTAGAAACTATCATTCCCAAGCTGAACTTTAAAATGCATGAACAGTCTTCCACAGTCTTTAATAGATTACAATAGCCTATAGTCTTCTCTAAGTTAACTTGTTCTTCCCTGACCTTTGCAACCAACCAATCGAATGCTTTTGAGATATTTGAGTTAACCCTCATCCTGATAAAAATGTTTTCTTGGTTGTCACTTACAAAGACAGGAACATAATTTTGCCTGAGGCAAAGGGACTCCTTTATGACATTCCTTGTTTGTATGTTGGCTGTAGCTGTTAGTGCCAAAACAGGAACCAAAGGCTTTGTACTTAAAAGAGACCTTAATTCTCCAAGCCTCGAAAAACATTCTCTAAATGCAGMAACAAACTCTTTCTTGCWGCTTGTGCCATGCTTTTGCGTTCTATATCCCCTACAAAAGAACAACAAAACTCTGTGAGTAATACAGTAAAGCATAAACATTAAATAAGAACGAGGACGTCGATCAGTTGGCATACGTGTGATAGTATTGCATGCTCGTGATATATAGCCAGCCGCTTACCATTTTGGAATAACGTGTGCTTCATCTGTCACAATAGCGAATAGATTTTTGAGGTAAACGTCACTCTGCAGCATCTTTCTCCACTTCTCGTTAAGTATGAGCGATTCTGGGTTTGCAAAAACGAACGAGAACTCTCCGTGAAGAACCTTTTCTTCGTCAACATCACCAACGAGGCTGGTCGCTGTTATTTCACGAGATTGTAATTCACGTATATGCGTATTCACAAGAGAGTTCAGCGGGCATACAACTAATACGACGG